CTGAGTGTGGAAGACTATTATATATGAGGATAAAAAGTGCACTAAACCACCAATTCTTCCAATTTTTTTGGTTTATAAAGCCCTTTTATACTCTTCAAAGTTGGGATAATCTCAAAGTACTTTATGTTTACTGTTGAAACTTATTATACTAGAAATTAAATCTGAGAAATTTTAAAAAATATTAATATCCCAATTCATTTTAAAATGCCACTAATAAATCTATTGTGTTAATAGAATGTCTTTTATGAAAAATAGCTTTTTGTTGAAATTGAGTTTAAAAAAATTTTAAAGTTTTAAAAATTGCTTTAAATTTTTTCTATTATGCTAATTTCTAGCTTAATTAAAAAACACCAGGATTCACACATCCATAATAGGTCCGTTGTAATATCAAAATCTTGTAGACGTCACCAGATATTTATGAGCAAGTCAAAAGAATTATTACGAATATATTTGGGATCTTCATAATTTTTGAGACCATGCTTGAAGAATTTTGGCTTAAGGTTCTTTAACTCCAGTGTAAATCTATGAGAAAATTGTTTTCCATTAATGTTACAGATTAATCTGTCATTCTCAAGTGAATGTTTAGCATTACCCATGATTTTTTGGTAAAGATCCATAAATAGAAATGTGTGTACTTGCAAATAGAGGAATGTGTGTGATTTTCTGATAGTGTGTTATGAAATGCTAAAATCCAGTTAAAATGAGATACAAGACATCAATACGTGACATTAACTATACTTGGAATAAACTGATAAACAGAACACAGAAACTCATTAGAAGCTACTTAGAGAACATGAAGATCTTTGAGCGACATGTCTTTGAAGCATTGAGAAGGAAGCAGAACCAGATCCCACATAGGCAGGATTTGTTTACTCATCAGAAATGAAAGCCAGCAATCCTGGCTTTGAATGACTTGATATATTTCTGTAAATGGGCCAGTTTCCGCACATGGACCATAACACAAACACACTGTACTCACGCCTTCCTGTATTAGCTTAGTATTTGGATTAACTTGTAACTGTAGTTCTTTGAATCTAGAAAACATTTTGAATTTGAGTATGTGGCCTGGAACAGAACAGGTTAACCTCTCCTCCCTACCCCCAACCAGACATAACCTGTGTTTTATAAAGTATTGCTTTTCTTTTTCTTTATTTTCTTTCTCTGTTCAGGTAGCAAATCCATTTACATATTTTTGTGGGAAGTTTTGAGTTAAATTGAATACTTAGCTCTTTATTGAAAAAGATTACTTCCCTGTCTGTTTTTTTTTCTTTCGGTAATACAAGACCCTAAACTTCTGATCATACTTGTAAATTGCTAAGGAAAACCCAAATGGGTCTTGACTCTTTTTTCTTAGTTGATAAGAAACCTCACTTTTCCCCTAACCTCTGCCCCTGCTCAGTTTTTAAAATTATAAAATACATTGTAATACAGGTGGCTCACACCTGTAATCCTAGTTATTTAGGAGGATGAGGTCTGAGGATCACAGTTCAAAGCCAGCCCAGTTAGGAAAGTCCGTGAGACTCTTATTTATCTCCCATTAGCCACCAGAAAATTATAAGTGGCGCTGTGGCTCAAAGTGGTAGAGTGCTAGTCTTGAGTGAAAAGCTCAGGGACAGTGCTGAAGCCCTGAGTTCAATCCCCATGACCAGGGGGGGAAATGTTTTAATATAAAATTCTGATCTCAGTCATGTTTAAATGTGTAGTTTAGTTGTATTAAACATACTCATAATATTTTAGAACTATTGCTACAAGCCATCTTCAAAACTCTTTTATCATAATATGAAAAGTCTGTATTTATTAAACACTAACTCCTGCTTCTCTCATATCTTGAGCCTTGGCAGTTACCATTCTTCTTTCTGTCTTGATGATTCTGACTACTTTAAGTATCACATTTACGTGGTTTCATACACAGTATGTCTTTTATGCCTGGCTTATTTCACTTAGCATAATGTGCTGAAGGCTTATCCATGTTATTGCAGATTACAAATTCCTTTTTAAGTCTGAATAATATTTTGTTGTTTGTATGCATTTCCACTCATATGGTAATGGATACATGTTTATTGCCTTTATATTTTTGAACCTCACTGGCTTTTGGTCAGTATTTACATTGTTTAGAAAAATAATTTAGAAATATTCGTTGTAAAGACATATTTCATAGACTTTTCAAGGCTAATATAATTATTAGAAATGAGGTTTTTTTTGCTTGTTTTCTTGGCTTATGTATCTTTAATAGATTATTACAACATCTGTTTAGAATCAGTATTTCAGGGATGAAGAAGAAAGCATTTGGATTGAGAAATGGTTGCTATAAAGTACTTTCAACTCAAGTGCCAAAATCTTGTTCCCTGCCATTACTTCAATGATGCACCTCACTTGGTCCCCAGGTTTCCTTACTGTCTATAAATCAAATCAAGTCCCAACTCTTTCCTTGTAAAGTTTTCCGCCAGCTTAATTCCAGGTTTTGGTAATTTATTTAGTGAGTAGATTTTTTTTCTATTACAATTTTAATTAGCTATTTTATACCTTTGGAAGGGCATAAGAATTTACCAGGTACAGCCAAATTACTATTTGGTCAAGATTTTATGTCATGGAAAACCATGAAAAGCATATTGTTTGACACCATTTGGTAAATGCCAGGCGAGAAGGGTGCATATATCTGCAGTGTGTTCTGTGTCTATTCCTAGGCAGACATGTATGTGTTCACTCTGAAGGCAAGAAATTGTGTTGTTTACCAACACTACTGGGACCTTATTGGAACTACCAAGGAGGCATTGAAAGCCCTTAGCTAGCATTCTCTGATATAGTCTATGACTTCTTAAAAACTGACTTCTTATGTATAAAATTTTGTTCTCAAGCTTTATCTCTGTTGGAGCATTTTTCTGTACTTAATTTCTTCTTCTTTTTTTTTTTTTTGGTCAGTCATGGGGCTTGAACTCTGGGCTTGGATGCTGTCCCTGTGCTCTTCAGCTCAAGGCGAGCGCTCTACTGCTTGAGCCACAGCACCACTTCCGGTTTTCTAGTGGTTTTATTGGAGATAAGAATCTGATGGACTTTCCTGCCCGGGCTGGTTTTGAACCTCGATCCTCAGATCTTAGCTTCCTGAGTAGCTAGGAATACAGGCGTGAGCCACAGGGGCCGGCTTTATTTTCTTCTTTAGAAAAAAAAAATTTTTTTTTGAGGTGCTAGGGATTGAATTGAAGGCCTTGCCTTCCGCATTCGAGGCAGGTACTGTGCCATTGAGCTACATCCCAAATGTTTAATTTCTTCTTATTGCAAAATGATATTTGACTATATGAATGTTTCACATTTTATTTATGCGTTCCTCAATTGGTGGACATTGGATTGTTTATACTTCCTAGTTATTATGAATGATTTTGCGTGAATGTTTTTGTTCAAGTTTTGGGGTGGAGATATTTTCACTGCCCTTGATACATACTTAAGAGTGGAATTTCTGGGTCCTTTGCTACTGTTATGCTTAATATTTTGATAATGGCTTTTTTCCTATTTTTTCATAATGACTTTTGTTTTATATATTGTGATATCTGGAAAGGGACTTTGGATATTTCTAGTGTCCTTTCTCTTGTTAGAATTGTGCCCCCCCCTGACAGCCAGGCTGAATAGGTGTTGTCTACAATCCTAGCTCCTGAGAGAAAAGGGGTAGATTGGAAGAACCACAGTTTGAGGCCAGCCTGAGAGGTAGAGGGATTAGTAGATCTCATCTCAATTAAGAAGCCAGGCTTGGTAGTATATGTATATAGTCCCGCAGTGTGGAAGACCATAGTTAGGAGTATCATGGTCTAAGGCCAGGCCAGGGCAAAATGTATCCCTGCCTGCAAAAATCTAAAGCAGCCAGCTTGGAGGATATACCTATAATCATGGCTATTTGGGAGTTAGAGGTCAAGAGGATGGAGGTTCAAGGCCAGACCAGGCAAAAGACTCCATGTTCACCAATAAAAGCAAATCTGTGCCTGTTGTCCTAGCTATGTGGGAAGCATAAGTAGAAGGATTGTACTCCAAGCCAGGCCCAGGCATAAAACTGAGACTATTTAAAAAATAAGTAGAAAGTCTGGGATCATGACTCAAGTAGTAGAGTAACTGCCCTACTATTCTGTAAAAATTCTCTGTAGAAACCCCACTCCTACAATGTGCCTATAAAGTTACAAATAAATACACTGGATGGTTAAAAAATAAATAGAGTGCACTGTGACATTATGCAGGTCTTTATGCATTCACACAAAGTGAGACCAAAGGAGGATATTCTTAGGAGAGGATCACATAGGCATAAGACTTATGTGCATCTGATCATATAAAATAATTTGCATCAAAATGAGCTCCAGGAAATGGAAACAAGAGGGTTTTCCCCCCTTAGTTGCTGTTTTTGTTTTCTTTTCCTTTTTTTCTTGTTCATTTATTTGTCTTTGGGAGGGCAAAGGAGGGATACAGAAATGAAGGGACAAAGGGTGAAAAAATGTAGCAATGGTACTAGACACTATGTGGAAAATGAACTTAGGGGTAGGGAAAAACTGGGAGAGAGCGAGGGAAAGCGTGACATTGTTTAAAAAGAAATGTACTCATTACCTTACTTAGGTAACTGTAACCCCTCTGTACATCACCTTTACAATAACACTTTGAAAAAAAAAAACCCAAAAAAACAAAAAGTACTGCCACAGAGTAGAAATAAAAGTAAATGAATAAGGAAAAACGGGCTAGGGTATGGGACTTAAATAGAGCCATTGGTAGGAGGATCATAGGTTAGGAGGATCTTCAGACTTGCCTTCCTGACTTAGCAAACATGAGGTCCTGAGTTCATGCTCCAGTTATGAATAAAAGTAGTCTATCCTTTGCTTAGTTCTATGTTCTTTCCATATATATGCTACTGAGATTTATATATTTGAGGAGTATGAAACCATTACTTATTTAAAACCTTGTAAATATTTAATTATTCATGGTCAGAACTTTTATATTTCTAAATTTCCTTATGATTGATTTTATTCCTTTAGAAAAAAGAAAGTGAATGCCTACAATTAAAAATTTTGGTGCTTCGAAATGAACTGGAAAGACAGAAGAAAGCCTTGGGACGTGAGGTAGCCTTTCTGCAGAAGCAGCAGGTTGCATTACAGGATGAAGGTGAGTGGAAGCTCCATGCAAGCTACCTAACCACACCATACAGTAGTTTTCCTTTCTTCTTTGCTATAAGTTCAAATTGACATCTTTGTGTAAATATTTTGATAGAATTTCTTTAATTTGGGAAGTAAATTTTGAAATACTTTGAAATTGAAACTTAAATTGTACAAATCTCTCTCTATATATATGTATAGCCTGAATTTTTACCAAGTGCCAACAGCCACTTAGGCAGACTGTCCAACAAGACATGGCATTCCCTGTGTTCCAGAACATCCTGATTGCTCCAGGCTCCCTTTATTTGCATCTGTAGTCACACTGAACACTACCTGTACTTACCAGACAAAGACTGGTTTTGCCTAATTTTGAACTTTATAGAATCACAAATGTACATTTTATGTGCTGTCACATTTGGTAGATTCATCCTTTCCTTCATATTAGTTGTGATTTATTTATTGCTCATTCCTCTACTATTCTTCCATTATATACTTGTGTTTGTATTTACTTATTTACTCTTGCTGTTGATTTCAGTAATTTTAAGCTTGGCACTATTATAGTTGACACTTCTGTACCTGTTCTAGTGCACATTTTCTAATGAAGTTAATGATGTATTTCAGATTAGAAGTAGAATTAGTCAGACAGATTGTACCTATCTATTTTCAGCTTTAGTAGATTGTGTTCAAAAGTTTTCCAAAATAGTTTTTGATTCTTTCTGTCTATTATTGCTTGGGTCCTACATCCTTGTCAGCATTTGATACTCTTTTCTTTTTGTCCTATTTGGTGGGTTAAAGAATCTTTTTGCAGTTCTAATTTGTATTTTCCTGAAGACTAATAAAGTTGACCATCATTTCATGTGTTTCTTTTGTGAAATATCAGTGTTACAGATTTAAAAAAAAATTAATGTCATTTAATTTTTCTGGGCAGTACTGGATTTGAATTTGTCCTCTTGCCCTTGCTTATTGCAAGGCAGATACCACTTAAACCACACCTTCATTTCTGATTTTTTTGCTGGTCAATAGCTAATTAATACTAGCTAGTTAATAGACAGCTATCTCACAGACTTTCCTTTCTAGGCTGCTTCCAACTGCGTTCCTTCCAGGCTCAGCTTCCTGATTAGACACCAGTACCCAGGTTTCCTTTTTTTTTGTTTTAATAAAATAAGTAAATTATATATATATATATATATATATATATATATATATATATGAGCCCATCCATACACACACACACACACACACATACACACACACACCTGTAATTGATGAGGTGGGTCAAGGTCATGTGAGTTATACAAGGGGAAGTTCATGCAGTGGAGGAATGACACCCCCCCCCCCCGTGTGTGTGTGTGTGTGTGTGTGTGTGTGTGTGTGTGTGTGTGTGTGTGTGTGTGTGTGTGTTTCCATTTTTCTGGCTTGCTGATTCATTCCTTAACAGTACCTTAAATGTACAGAAGTTTCATTTTATCATTCTTTTACATTGGAAGCCTGTGTCTAGTTTAAGAAATATTTGCCTATTTGAAAATCATAGATTGAGGCTGAGAATGTATAGAGTGCTTACCTAGCATGCATGAAGCCCTAGGTTCAATTCCTCAGTACCACATAAACAGAAAAAGCCAGAAGTGGGGCTGTGGCTTAAGTGGTGGGATCCTAGCCTTGAGCAAATGAAGCTCAGGGACAGTGCCCAAGCCCTGAGTTCAAGCCCCAGGACTGCCAAATAAAAGAAAAAAGAAAATCATAGAGCTAGTCTTCTGTGTTTTCTGAGTTAGTACTCTAATTTACTTTCTAACGTTTATGTCTTTATTTTATTTTGGATTGGTTTTGGTATATAGGTAAGAATCAAGATTCTGTTTTCACCTGGACATGGTTGGTTGACACTGCACCATTATTGAGGATCATCTTTCCTCCGCTACATGAACTTCCCCTTGTATAATCACATGACCTTTGACCCACTTCATCTATTACAGGCCTTTGGTTATGTTCCATTCATCTAATTTCCAACCATTATCTCACTGTTTCAATCTTTCTCACACTATAATAGGTTTTGGTACCTGTTAACATTCTTGGATTTCCTTGCTTTCCTTCAAAACCATCTTGATTGTTTACTTGTATGTTTTCTTATGAAATTCTACACCAAAAAGAGAGACTTGCTAGGAGTTTGTTAAAACTATATTGAAATATTTATCAATATTTTTGTGAATAATAAACGCTTTGCTGTCTTCTATCTCAAGGAGTAACTAGATCTTTACAGACATTATTAAGTAAATTCTTAGTGTATGAACCATTTTCATAATTCATTTATTTTTTTCTATTTCTGATGTTTTTCAATAATATTATAACTGTTTAAATTTTAAATTTTATTTCTACTTGTTATTGATACGTAGATAGTTGATTTTTAAAGGGGAGTTAATTTTTATTATATATTATATTCGTTATTGGTATTATTATTATTTTGGGGGGGGGCTCCGGTCATGGGGCCTGAATTCTGGGCCTGGGTGCTGTCCCTCAGCTCTTCAGCTCAAGGCTAGCACTCTACCACTTGAGCCACAACGCCACTTCCGGCTTTTTTCTTTTTTGCTTATGTGGTGCTGAGGAATCGAACCCAGGACCTCAGTCATGCAAGGCAAGCACTCTACCACTGAGCTACCTTCTCAGCCCGTTTATTATATTATTTTTATAATTTGTATTATATATGTTCATGGAAAAATTCACCAAAAGCGTTTCAGACAAACTAACAATTTTTTTTTACATTTGAGTTATAGCCCTCCAGCTACAGACCTTGCTATGAGTATTTATTTATATTTTAGTATCATTGTAATCTAATAATAAAATTATATTCAGTCAAGTTTAATTACAACAAAATTATGAAAATTGTAAAACAGATCATTTATCTGTAATTTGCATATTATGTAGGTTTTCACTTTCAAATGTAAGAGTCTTTTAGTTTACAATGATGACAAAAATTCTAATTTCTACTAATTTATTCTAAAAGCAAAATTATTTGTCATTTTACATTCTCTTTCTCTACAGTACTAACAGGCCACTAAATTGCTTTCTATCTCTATAGATTTCCCTATTCTGGGTATTTCATATAAGTGGAACCAACTTCTTTCATTTAGTATGTACCAGTACTTAGTTTTTATGGCCAAATTAAATATTCAATGATAGGAATATGTCCTAATTTATTTATCCATTCTTAAGTTGGAGGAAATGTAGATTCCTTTCACTGTTTTTTTGTTTTGTTTGTTGGGTCCGGTCGTGGGGCCTGAACTCTGGGCCTGGGCATTGTCCCCCAGCTCTTCAGCTCAAGGCTAAAGCTCTAACACTTGAGCCACAGCGCCACTTCCAGCTTTTTTTTTTTCTTTTTGCTTATGTGGTGCTGAGGAATTGAACCCAGGGCCTCATGAATGCAAGGCAAGCGCTCTACCACTGAGCCACCTTCCCAGCCCCATCCTTTCACTGTTGAGTCTCATGAATAGTGTTTCTGTGAACTGTCCTTCTACTTTGTATAATCAGGATGAAGATTAAGTGATACTAAAACATTTGGAATAAAATAGATGGGTTCTTCTCCTTCTACCTACTACCAGCCTAGATGGATGTGTGCTTCTATAGCACCTTGTGTTTCTTCCATCAGCACTGTCATCTCTACACTGTGTCATCTCTGGGAGCAGGCACCAGCCCAAGTACAAAGTCAAATACCATATCCTATGAGGATGATGTGGTGCCTAGGAAATACTAAGTATTTGTTCAGTAGCTGGATCAGATTTGTGGTTCAGTGTCATCATCATAAAGACTTCCCTAGTAGTTTTATTTGGGAAGACTTAGAGTATATCCTTAGAAATGGTGCTGGAAGAAAAACACCTATTGTTTGGCAGTGATTTAACATGACATACATGCCTCTGGTATAGCTTTTATACTGACATTTGTAAATGAGAGTCTGATGGAATTCATAAGACATGGTGAGTGAAGTTCCTTTTCACAAGGTCTCTTTTAGAATGACTCTAAATAGACATATTTACATATGGGTGTAAATGGATGCATGTATAAAAAAGGTCTCATCCTCTGAAAAGGCCCCCCCCTCCATTGTGGGGCTTGAACTCTGGGCCTGGGTACTGTCTCTGCTTTTCAGCTCAAGGTGAGCACTCTACCCTTGAGCCACAATACCACTTCTGGTTTTTTAGTGTTTAACTGGAGATAAGAGTCTCATGAACTTTCCTGCCCATCCTAGCTTTGATCCATAATCCTCAGATCTCAGCCTCCTGAGTATCTACGATTCTGCAATCGTAGATTGCAGGCATGAGCCACTGGGGCCCAACAAAAAGACCTAACTTTTTTGGTGCTTTTTTTATTTTAATTTTTTAAAAGTTTTATTGTAAAGATGCTGTAGAGAGGAGTTATAGTTGCATGAGTAAGGTAATGAGTACATTTTTTATGGTGCTTTTGAAATTGCACTATTTTTACACTATATTCTGAGTGTGTACGCACTCATAGCTTTCCTTTTTCTTTTTCTTTCTTCTTTTTTTATTTTTTTTTGTCGGTTGTGGGGCTTGAACTCAGCCTGGGTGCTGTTTCTCCACTCTTCAACTCAAGGCTAGTGCTCTACCACTTGAGCCACAATGCCACTTTGGCTTTTTCTGCTTATGTGGTGCTGAGGAATCGAACCCAGGACCTCATGCCTGCAAAGCAAGCACTCTACCACCTTCCTAGCCCCTAGCTTTCCTTTTTCAAAATCATCAGTTTTTAAAATAAAAGCACCATAGGACTTTTAGAAGAATTGGCCCTTTCCTAAGAAAGATGAGTGATCATAGCTATAGTATTTCAAGTTTAGAGCTTTTCAATAGATAGATAAAATGTTGTTTAATTATCACAATAACTTTTTGAGGTGTGATACTATTTATTATCTACAATATTCAGTTGAGGAAATTCTGGGTTAAGGACAAGTAGCTAACAAAACTGGGATTAAAACTCTTAGTCCATGTATAGCACTTAAAAAAAGAACTAGTATAATGT